AAAAGAATAAAAAAAAATAAATGTTAAAGTCCCCACCCATACATGTGTCGGGGGCGGATACGTGCAAAAAATACGATTGCACTCATTTAAAAAAAAATCAAAATTTTCTGTAATTTTTCCTAATTATATCCCCAATCATTTCATTACAGCGTTGCATGACGGAATAAACGTCAGTCCAAGTACTGCAGCACTGAACACTGAAAAATGGCCTGGCCAGGAAAGGGGTCTAAAACACCTGGTCTTGAAGAGGTTAAACAGGCAAAAGTATCTTCTGTCCCGGGTCCAGATGGCTTTTCAGCTAGTTACTATAAGAAATCTGAAGAGATACTTCTGCCCAATCTGGAATCCCTTTTCCTAGCCATTGGTAAAGGCGAGTCCCTGAGTCCGCATATGAACGAGGCATTTCTATGTTTAATTCCCAAACCTAATAAAAATCCAGGAGAAATAGCCAATTATAGACCTATATCTTTGATTAATAACGATCTTAAACTGCTCACAAAAGTTATGGCTAATAGACTTAACTTTTTCCTGCCCAAGTATATCTATAAAGATCAAGTGGGGTTTATCAAGGGGAGGCCAGATCAAATTTGCAGGGCAATTGACACAATATCTTTGTTAAAGTCTGGGTGGAGTAAAACTCCAAGTGCCACTGGTTTGCTGTTATCTGTTGCTTTACAAAAAGCCTTTGACTCAATATCCTGGACTCATCTCTTTACGCTTTTAGAGGAGTGGGGATTTGGCAATCAGTTCATTTGCCTGATCTGGAATCTATACTCCTTGCCCTCAGCTATTATTAAAATGCAGGGATTTAAATCAGCCCAAATTCCGATTCATAAAAGAGACTAGACAAGGTTGCCTCCTCTCCCCTTTATTATTTGCATTAGCGATGGTGGTCCTGTCCTCATGTCCGTGCATTTTGGGGAAGGGTTTTCATCCTAATATTCCGGGTTACGGGCGTGCGTGTCCCCAGGTATGCTCTTCTTAACGGTACTGTCCCTGGAGTTTCTAGACATTGTACACGATTGATAATGTTCATGTTCCTGGCAGCTAAAATTACAATCGCTAAAGCCTGGAAAATACCCAGGGTGCCTTTGAGGCAAGTAAAGACTAAGCTGTCTTGGATCATGACTCACGGACAATTGGCGAGTATTCTCCTGGACAAAGTTGCACAGTTCGAGCCTTGGTTGGCTTATATAAGCTTTCCAACAATATGAGAGAGACAGAGTGATCTTGGGCACCAGCCCATCCCGACCAAACTACTTACCTGGATACAGGTTTTCCCGTTTTAGTTTCATTTAATTATGTCTGCTGTATTTTCCCCCTGTTCGTTTATTGTCTTGTATGTTTTTTATGTGGTTTGCCCATGTTTAAGAGACGCTTTAAGGGCATCCTATCAGGGATTACGTGCCTATCAACCCTGACGGTTACCAGTTAACTTGTTTGTGGACTACCATCGGGATTTCATACTCCGAATAAAATTTCGGGTGAAATATGCCGTTTTACAATTAAATTAATTCCGGTATTTTATTTGATAGATGAGGCCTTTGGTTACAACTAAAGGCTGTGAAATTACAATCCCCCAGAACATTAGGACTTTATATACTAGTTTTATTTTTACTTGATCGGAAATTAGTCGGGTTAGAATTAAATTTGAGTTTCATTGGTTATTTTCTTGAAAGGATTATTTTAAGATCTTGCACTTAAACTACTGGTGAAACATACCACTATAAGACTGGACTCCTAATATTGTATTAGTGTGATGTTTTTTCTTTTTTGTATATTTAACTACCTCCCGGCCGTTGTGTGTAAACTGCCGGCCGGGAGCTTCCTGGATGTAACAGACCATGTATACACGGCCTGTTAGTCCCGCCCACTTGTGCACGCCGCGCGCGAGCGGGACAGACATAACATTTTAAAACCGGCAGCGATGCCTGTTAACATACAAGCGATCCGCCGGCTATAGAGCTGGCGTATCGCTCGTATGAGGTCCTGGTATGTGCGACCCCCCCCCCTCCGCGGCTCCCCCCCTTCCCGGGCTCCGCTGTGCCCGGTGCGAGCCCGGGACCAGCATAGTGCCTCTCTGAAAGGGGATTAGAGGGAGATCGGTTCACGATATCCCTCTGGTCCCCTCTCCGGTGTCAGAATGCGGAAGTGATGTATATTAGGTTACTTCCGCATTCTCGTGTCACTCTTCAGCTTCAGACGCTGGAGAGAAGCTGATGAAGCAGATCTCTGCTTCATCAGCTTCTTCAGGGGGGTCCTAGGTGACATTAGGGGTCTTGGAGACCCCTGTTGTCTCCATAAAGAGGACCTGTCACATCTTTTGCCAAGACAGAGGGGGGTTTCTTAGCCCCCTCTGTGATAGCAATAAAGTTAAGTGGGGAAAAAAAAATAGGGAAAAAAATAGGGAAAAAAAATTAACGTTTCCCGGGAAAAAAATTCTGTTACACATTAAAAAGAATGTACATTTTTTTTTAAAGTCCCCACCCCTACATACACGCATGTAAACATGCGTCAGGTGCGCATACCTGCAAAAACGACTATTGCGCCCATTACGCTGCACATGTTACATATCGCTGCGAACGTCGCAGTGAAAGCAATAATTCTAGGACCATCAGTCACTGATAACACTGAACTGATGAGCGGTAAAAGCTTTTAAAGCGTCGTCTAAGGTCAATTTTCTGTAGTTTTTTGCGATTTTGCGGGTGCGGGCAAGTTTTAAGCTTGACATGTTTGGTGTCTTATTTACCCGACGTGACCCCGTCTATTATATTTGACCCAAAAAATGGGGTAATAAATGTTTAACATAATGTAAAAAAAAAAAAAAAACTTATTTTTTTCAACATTTTCAGTAATTTTTCCTGAAAATATAAACCCGCAGTGGTGATTAAATACAACTAAAAGAAATCTCTATCTACCCCCAAAAAATGGTATAAAATTCATTTCAGTACAGCGCGTTGCATGACGGAATAAATGTCAAAGTACCGCAGCGCTGAATACTGAAAAATGGCCTTGCCAAGAAGGGGGTCTAAACACCTGGTCAGCAAGTGGTTAAAGTGTGCCGTGAAAATGTAATTTTGTAGCACACTTATCTGTATGACTTTTACATGGTATGTTGAATATAAAAAATGAGTGGGGTTGGAAGAGGTAAGTCTCTTTTAGATGGATGTTGTATTATATGGTTTTATGTTGTATATGTCCTATTATGTCGTGATGAAAACAATAAAAAAACTTTTGATAGTAAAGTACAAGTAATTATGTTGGGTATATTGTTATTTTGTATCAGTGAAAGAATGTTATTAACCACTGTGTCTTAGTACAAATGACTTCATTCTCAATGTATGTGGAAGAAAATGGAATTATTGTTCAGATTCTCAAGCTACAGTAGGTCGGACAGGTTCTGCAACAGAAAAGACCGCACTGTTGAATCTTATGGTTTTGTTCAAGGCTTAGGTCAGAGGTCATCTCATGGAATAATATTGGAATTTTAAAGGAAAAAGTCCAAGATTATTTCTAGTCCAATATTGCACGATTTAGGTAATTGCAGGGATATGTTTTAGAAAAGTAATACCTTCCTGACGTCATAATTGGGTTGAAGATAAGCCATCACCTCCCACATTTTTGGGTGATAAAAGTTAGGAGAAAGTTAACAGAAAAGAGAACGGAAAGACTGGAAAAAAGGAAAGAATATACAGGTGGAGGTACATAGAAATGGGGGGGAGTCTGAATCTGATTGACGGGCTGACCAGGGGACCTGAACATCTCTTGTCCCTACACTGACACAAAGTTGACATCTCTTAGACAAAAGAATTTTCAAATTTTGGTAAAGTATACATTTTTATTTATCTGTAGGCAATTGACTAGCCATATATATCTAACTAAACCATTTACCATTTTCGGCCGTAATTTCGGTGTATCCCTATTGTGACTGTTTAAATTCATGATCTCTCCCTTCCTTAATTGTGAATGGGAGATTCAATGAATGAGTCATCAGCAGCTGATGAGTCTATTCAGTGATCCTTCATGACTTTTTTTAACTCTTTCACTGTCCCTCAGCTCTGATCTCCAGCCTGTTTCTTTATTGTGACCTGTATATTTACCCTTTATCTGCCTTATTCTAAATATCTGCACATTGACCCCTTCATCTTCACCATTCCACTGTATGTGACCTGTACATAAAGTCCTTTGCCTCCTAATCCCTATGTATAAACCATGTGTTCAATCTAGACCACCATTACCAAGCTTCATGTTTTAACCACATCAATATCACCATGTTTCTTAACCACTTGAAGTCTGCGGTGTTAAACCCACTTCCCATCCAGGCCATTTTTCAGTATTCAGCGCTGCGGTAGTTTGGCTGACATTTATTCCGTCATGCAACGCTCTACTGAAGTAAATGCTAAACCATTTTTTGGGAATAGAGCTTTCTTTTGGTGGTATTTAATCACCACTGGGGTTTTTATTTTTTAATATATTAAGGAAAAATACAGAAAATGTAAAAAAACAAAAACTGTTTCCCCTAATATTAAATTCTAAAACATTTATTATTACACAATTTTTTGGTAAAATATAAAATACGCGGTCACGTTAGCGGGTCTTTCCTGCCCGTGCACGCGAGCAGGAAAAAAATGCCGTCTGGAGACAGCAACCGCTGATGCGAGTCATATTTGATTCATATTTTTTATTGTCAACGATTATATTTTGATTGTTATTTTGCACTGATTTTAGTTCATAAATATATATATATATATTTTTGCACATTATTATTCTTATTTTGTCTTCAGGTTAGCACAAATAAAGAACTCGTTTAGTCAATTTGTGAAAATAAGTTGGAAATCTCATTAAATTACAGATCCTTGCTCGTTTTCATAAATACAAAACTGTTTATTTTATCAGAGTAAAATATTCTGACAGTTTCATATGCCAAAAGTTTGTCTCTGAATAGTAAATTCTCTACAGGACAGATGTCATACCATACATGGAGAATGTTTGCCACTCACCTGCTTGCTGTACATTCGAACAGTGACTTGACTATAAACATTCCCCTTGGAAACCATTTCAGGGCATCGGACTTGCACAACTCTGGGAGCCTCAAGAGACTCCACAAATGACCAGTGTATTGTGCGATATCGATTACCTCGCACCATTTCCTAAAGGAAGATTAAAAACACGGATAAGCTGGAAGTTAACTGTCAAAAAACAAACTTAGGGGTTACAGAATCAGTAAACCCAAAAGTGATATTTTATTTACTTCGGCATATTTGGGAAATTTGGGTATTTCAGCTCCCCATGCTGTGTTTTACATAATACATAAAAATTCAACATTCCTAATGTCCACAGTAGGTAGAAGGCCCAATAATTCAAGCACAGAAAGAAAGTCCATGAGAAATACAAGAAACCATCTTGTGATACAAGTCCATTGGAAGCCAAGTAAATTCGTCTAGGCTTAAACAAGGGTCATCAGTCTGCTGCGAGGAGGAGAATGCATTTCCCAATTTTTTATTCCCACAGTGATCAGGTTACAACTTTGTAAATACGTTAATAAGCTAAATGGCACCAGGGTAGGGCTGAACTGTCTTAAGACATCTGTGTGCTGCACAGGCACAGAATCTAAGTGCAAGAAGCAGATGTTGATCCTGGATGATATGTCTGAACAAAGATGGTACCGTTCTTCTGGTGAGAAAACAAGACAGAAGGTAGTACTGTGAAGTAATAAATATCTGATCCGGAGGTCTAAAAGCCCATGAGACACTGACAGATCTAGCACAGTGAACCTTTCCAGAGAGAGTAGTCCTACTCTTGACAGAGTAAGATGACCTGTCTAATCCACCTAGGAAGGGTGAAAACAGAATGCAGGGAGCCCCCTCTGTAAGGTCCTTTAGGAAGGACAAAGAATCCAAATGTTGGAAGGAAGCTGTAACCGAAAGGTAGACTTGGAGAACTCTAACCACATCCAAGCAGTGGACAGCCAACTCCATGGGATGATTCGGAGCCAGACAAAATGAAGGCAAAACAGTATCCTCACTGAGATGAAAGGAGGACACCAACTTAAACATAAAAGAAATCCTTTGGTATAAGAACAAACGTATCCTTGTAAAGAACAAAGAAAGGAGCCTTGCACAAAGAAACAACAGTTCCAAAATCTTTCTAGAAGAGGTGAAGGCAACAAGGAAAAACAACCTTGTATGCAAGATCTGAGAGTCCATCAGAGACTGGAAAGAACCATATTGAGGTCCCACAGCAACACTCGGAGGGTGTCTAGGAGGAGCCATGTTAACGACTCCTTGAATAAAAGCCTTTGCCAAGGAATGCGAGGCCAAGACCCACTGGAAAAGCATGGCTAATATCGATATCTGTCCTTTGGGTGTACTCGGGGTTACCGTTTGATCCAGTTACACTTACATCCAGTTAAGGCTTACAGTTGTCCCACTGAGTAAGTCCAAGGATGAAATGGTAATTGTTCGCACCAGGCCAATAAGCCCTCCAGGTACAATGATGCACCTTATGAGAGGTGAAGTTCCTGGCCTACAGGAGGGTGGAAAATGAGAGTGCAACAGACCTCCATCCCTCAGGACTTGCGTTTCAACTGGCAAGCCATCAAACAGAGCAGCTGGATGCAACATCGGACCTTGAGAAAAAAAGGATCCTCACAGTCCGGAAACAGCCATGAAGAGTCTGCCAGCGTACCACAATCTTCTGGACCAGTTTGGAGCCACAAGGATTGCTGGTATTCCTTCCACCTCGATCCTGCAGAGGAGACTAAGAATATTTAAATGAAAGAAGGCATAGATCAGGGAGAACCGATCCCACAAAGCTTTCAGCGCATCCAGTGCGAACACTCTTGGATCCCTGGATGAGATACAAACCTGTCCCACTTGATGTTCAGTCTGGATGTCAAGAGATCGATATTTAATGTCCTCCGAAGGCAGCAGATCTCCTGTAAAACTTTGTGGTATACAGACCATTCTCAAGTCCAAACTCCGTTGACTTAGAAAATTCGCCTGCCAATTGACCACGGCAGACAAGGCCGAAATGTGACTACCCAAGACCAGATCAGATCTGCTTCCTGCTGCACAGCAAGGCTTCTGGTTCCTCTTTGGTGGTCGACATATGCCACAGTCATGGCATTGTCGGACTGAACTCTAACCACTAATCTGCAGGTTAAGGAGAGGGGAATTGCATTCAACCCCAACATGTTGATTGATTGTTTAGAATCCCTTGGCAAACAAGTCCCTTGGACTGTTAACATCTCCAGAACACCTCCCCAGCCCAACAGGCTGGCATCCTTGTTCAGCATAGTCCACCAAAAGCAGAAGGAAGGATTTCTTGGATCCCCCACTGGATCATAAATCTACCACAATAGTAAGATCCTTCCTTTGTCTGACAGATGTATGGGGTGGTCTAGAGAAGAAGTCTTCTTGTCTCATGCTGCTAGAATGCTCAGTTGTTGTAGTTTTGAATGGAAGAGTATATAGTCAACTGCCTCAAAGAAGGCAACCATCAGCCCCAAATCGCTTCTTGCAAATCTCAGAGGGTCAATTCTTTGACCGAAGGTGTCAATGCCTGCGACTGAAGAGTCAGCAACTTGTCCTGGGGAAGAACCACCATGCCCTGCATAGAATCCAGGAGGAACCAAAGGAATTCCAACCAGTGGTTTGGTTCCAGCGAACACTTCCGGAGGTTTAGGACCCAAAAGGACAGTTGAAATTAATTGAAAGTCCTATGGACATCCTCCTGTAGGGTCTCTTCAGACCAAGCCTTGAGGAGAAAGTCATCCAGATAAGCCAGCACGTGGACATACCGAGAAAAAGGAGGGAAAGGTTTAAAGCCAACACCTTGGTACAAACCAGGGGCAGTGGACAGGTCAAAGCAAGAAAGTGGTTATTTCCCAAAGAAAACCTCAGAAAACACATCCAGGTAGGCATCCTTGATGCCCACCGATAACAAGAAATCCCTCCACTGGAAGGAGGCAATCACGGAGCGAGCCAATTCCATACAGAACTTGCAAACCCATGGGAACTGGTTTAGTGTCTCCAAGTCCAGGATGGGCTTCTGTTAGGCTTAAGTACCATGAACAGATTGGAGTAGAACCCTTGAAAGCTCTCTTCCAGGGGGACAGGAACAATTACTTTCAATGTCAGCAATTGCTGCAAGGCACAGATCAGATGTGCTCTCTGCTGTGGAGCAAAGGAAGGTTGGAAAGCATGAAATGGCCACAAGAAGAGGTAAAAATAACTTCAGTTTTTAGCCATAGAAACTATTGAGAGAGACCATATGCCCTGGATGTCTGTCTAATTCCTAGATGGACGCAAAGGCAAACAGACATCCCCCCCACTAGTACAAGTGGGGGTGCCCCTAGATTGAGAGGCGGGCTTGGTACAAGATATAGCTGGCAGAGTCTTGGCTTCCCGCTTGTGGAGCAAGAGTTTACGCTTGGTGTCAAAGCCTTTCCCAACAAATGCTCTCCAGCGAAAAAAATTCTCCCTAGGTGTTTCTTACACGCTGGTTCCGATTACCAGTACTTAAAAGGAGAACTATGGAGGTGAGTGCTTTTCACTCACCTCATAGTTCTAGCCGACCTGTGACAATGAGACTGTCACAGGTCGGCTCAGTAGATCGGGAGGTGAGCGAACACATACCGGGTTCGCTCGCCTCTCGATCCTGTCACGGCTCTCTGCCGTGACAGGGGGAGGGGCTGGATTCCCCTCTCCCCGCTCCGATCTGCCAGCGCTGACTGGCGGAACGGACGGGGGAGGGGGCGGGTACAGCTGGCTCTGCCTCTAGATAGGCAGAGCCAGCTGTCACTCACGCAGCTGGGCGGATCCCGTCATCTACGTCGGGATCCGCTCCGGCTGCGGCGTCTCAGTATACCGCAAGCTGTAGCTCGCGGTATACTGAGCTTAGGGTAATGGGAGGACGCTAGTTTGTGTCCTCCCGTTATCCTAAGGAGAACTATGGGGAAAAACACTGACCCCATAGTTCTCCTTTAAGCCAGAGGATCCTTTACATCTGTACCGATTGAATTCCTAGCCTTGGAAGCCGATATACCTCCATCGAAGTCATCGCTGGCTGAAGGACAGGCCCAAGGGAACCCCACCCTTAGGAGCTGTAGCAACTTCGGTGCCCCCCAGGCCCCTTGCATTTAATGTCTGCCATGGTAATAGGCACAAAATAGGTACTCACAATCCTGAAACCAATGGTTATAGGAGGGTCATCGTAGTGGTCACAGTGGTCCTTGTACCTCAGAAATGTACTCTGTTTGCCAATGGAAAAGTATCAAAGACACACCTCCAGCACACCTGATTAGAGTCTATGCCCCCTTCCTAGAGGATCACCAGCTGTGGAACGATTAACTGGGCATGCCCAGACTAGCAGAGCCTGGAGGGCTTAGCAAGATGGCCGCCCCAGGCTGTACTGAGCATGCTCAGGCATCTCAGGGAATCCCAATATGGCTGCTGAGAACCCCGGCCAGGGCCATAGGTGGCCACAGTAAATGCCTACACACTAGCAGACACATTTACCGGGCCAAACACTGCGTTTCTTGCTTGGGCCATGGGAAGGGAGGAATGACATCCCTCGGAGGGCTGGCATCAGCTGATGAGCACAACCTGGGGTTCCCTGGGGGAAAGGGGGGGAAAGGGGGGGTGTTAAAGGTGGCAAGGATTCGCCTAACAGGTGATGGACAACTATCCATGAGGATAGGAGGGGGGACCCCAGCTCGCACCTAGGCTTTGCTCACCTCAGACGAGAACTCCTCTTGGAGTAGGGACAGGGTCACACCAGTGCGGATACGCCACTACCATGGACCTACACAGCACCCTGTAGCTAACCTAACAGGCTGCACCAGGTGCCAAGGTAGGAGCCCATGCAGGATCCATTGCCCTAAGCTACAATACAGGCCAGTCCCACTTTTTCCATCCAGTGGGATTTGGATACAACCCCCGAAGCTCTCACCATGAGGCACGGGGTGCAGCAAGAAAAACATTATTAAAGACATTAAAGGGTAATTCCACTTTCCCAGGTGGATTTGGGAAAATGGCATTACCCCCTCCAATCGGGTCCCACTTGTGGGAGGCCCCACTTGTTATACTAACGTTTTGCCCCTTGCCCCCTTCCCCTCCGCCAGTGCGGGTGTACTATCTTACTATCT